TGTGTGTATGTGGGCTGATTTTTGCATTACTTAATCCGTGGCAAACGCAATGTGCTGACTACAGGCCAGGTGAACGCGTGCTAACTGTATTAACTACACCATGGCGTATGCGTAACCGTTTCCCCTACAATCTACAAAAACATAGAACGTTGTGAGTCACAAGAATTTACGGCTCCTTGGTTGAAATCTTGCAGCTTTCTGTTGCTGCCTTTTACATCACTGCCCCAATAGAAAGTTTTCAACAAGATTTAAACATACATATGTATGTAGTATTGTGCCGTTACCAAAAATGTGCAATGCATCTATGTATGTATGTAGGTAGACATTGTACAATACGCTTTGCGAAATTCGCTAGCTTTGTGAAAAATTGCCAAAGCGTCCAAAGTTCTAATAAAATGAGGTTCGTATACCAAACGAAATTTGAGGCCAAGTTCCACTGTTCCAACTCAAAAGGGGACAAATATTGCAAGAAGTCGAAGATGTTCGTAAGTACGTACATAAGTGGATAAAGCCGTAGAATGAAGTAATCAAATAAATTATCAACTTTTCTTAGAAAGGTTTCTAGCCCACATGAAAACAGGATCAAAAAATTTCTGACGAAGCCGACGAAGGAAAGTACTATAACATATTTAACAAAACAATTTCAGGATGTTTGCTCTTGTGCGGAGCTTAATTTCGAGGCAATGCTTCCGTTATCGCATTTGTTTTGATCGTGAAAGAGGCAAATTAGAATATTGGAGCTCAAATGTTGGATTGGCCTGCACAGGCCCCTCTCCTAAAAATAAAATATACACTGAGAGAAAAATCAACCGAAAATTGTTAGTATTACCAAACTCAAACTCGAAAAGGAATCAGTGTGAATGTAGCAAAGCCTTGGTTGATATTTTCAACAATGATTTGGTAATATTAACCACAATTTTGTTTACGTTAACCAAACTTTTGGTTGGCGATATTTTCATTTGAGAACGTTTATGTTCTGCACTTCAGAGATGCTTTTTCATAATTCGGAGATACAAAACAAAAATTTTTAAACTCATTTTAACACGTTGCCTCTGACGGGATTAGGGTTATCTGATCGGCCCAAAAGTTTTACCATAACTTGCAATTAGCATGAAGAACATATGTATGTACAAAGTTTGAAAATGTCAAAAAAATTTTAACTCCGGCCAGTGTGTTATGTACGAAAAAGGTTTTTTTATAATCAACTAAAACTTTCGTGGCTCAAAACGACGAAAAATTTCGTAAGATGTACGCAAGTTTTCGTTATATTAAGGCAGATTTTATTTTCAGTGTAAGCAATGTATTGCGACCCACTGAATCCAAATCTGAGGTCCGTACACTAAATTATGAAAAACCGAAAAAATAGCAACAAAAAATTGCAATTTTCGCAATTTACTCGAAATTTTGTACGAGTCAAATGGACGGTTAAAAGCACCCGCAACTTTTTTTTGTGTACCGTTGCCAGTATTCCGTGAGTCGCAGGTCCAAATAACGGCACATTCCGAACGAAAAATTACACTGAAAATAGCACAACGCCGAAACCGGTTTGTCTCCAAACCAAATTTGACAAGGGATGATGGAAAATCGTCCTACCTACCCTGTCGGAAACACCAAAAACGAGAATGAGAATAACGGCACATGCAGTAATTAATTGATAGCTAATTATTTTCTAATAAAAAAAAATTATTATAATTGTCAATGGCATTTTCAATCTTGATAATTTATCAAGAAAATAGATTTAAACTTCTGTGCTAGAACTGTGAATTCTTGATAAATAATCAAAAATTTACAAATTATAAAAATATTGAATTTATTAAGTCACAGATACTGGCTGTAAGTATACACACATTTTTTAAGAAATATAGTAGTTTTATTCAGTATATTTTTTTCTCATTGACGAAGTGCAGATTTTGGTAGTGAAGATTTGGTAACTTTTGGTAACTTTTCTTAAGAGATTTTGGTAGAAAAAAATGTTGGAGAGTGGCAACCATGGACAATACCTGTAATTATTGTACCATGGTGAAAAACGACGCAAGCTACACAGACGCAAGGTACATAAAAACAGGTAAAAGCCATTTTGACGTTGCTCTCATGAGAACCAAACCTTTAAACTTAAACTTGATTTATTTTTATTTCCCATAATAAAAATGAACTTCAAATTTACTTAAAAACGTCAGCCAGTGAAATGTAAATTTTTCTTGTTCATTTCACATGCTCTTTCTCATTTTTACTCTCCAGAAAATTTTGACGTTTGAAAGTTTGACGTCAAATTGTCTTCTACCTGTTTTGAATGTATCTTGACACGGACGTTAAAACTGAATTTAATTTCTNGGCAACCATGGACAATACCTGTAATTATTGTACCATGGTGAAAAACGACGCAAGCTACACAGACGCAAGGTACATAAAAACAGGTAAAAGCCATTTTGACGTTGCTCTCATGAGAACCAAACCTTTAAACTTAAACTTGATTTATTTTTATTTCCCATAATAAAAATGAACTTCAAATTTACTTAAAAACGTCAGCCAGTGAAATGTAAATTTTTCTTGTTCATTTCACATGCTCTTTCTCATTTTTACTCTCCAGAAAATTTTGACGTTTGAAAGTTTGACGTCAAATTGTCTTCTACCTGTTTTGAATGTATCTTGACACGGACGTTAAAACTGAATTTAATTTCTACTCGAATACATTGTAACCACAGCCACACCGCACAGCGGCCAAAAGTAGTAAAAACGGGTTAGCGAATTTTGAAAAAGTAATTACGCAGATACATAGCAAAATATCCAGCAAAGCCAAACCAAAAATTATTTTTGATAAAAATGCATATTTGCAATCATGACACGGGCTTAAAGTGGGAACAATGCGAAAAAATAAATTTGTAAGAAAAAATTTTGATTTTGTCGCAAGTAAATTAAATTAATTTTTCCACTTGTGCGCATATATAAAAAGCCAATGTGATTGATGAGCAGTTTTTGAATATATCTGTGGTCAAGCATTGCCTTAAAATTTTGATAAATCTTTTGAAATGTATAAAATAGTTTACTTTGAAATTTTACATAAGTTTGTGAGTATAAAATTATTCGAGTACTTAATTTAAAAAGGGATATTTCAAGAAGACCTAGGAAGCGAGCTAAATTGTACTTAAGAAAGTAAGCATTATCTCAAATAGTTCCAGCTGCGAGGAACTGCGAGTTCAGCTTCTATTCTTCTTTTTATGGGACCCACCTCCTGTAAAATTTATTGCATTTTTATTATACAGCTGAAGGGAAAGACTCTGGTGTGTACATAAAATAAAAAATATGCAATATAAAATGGAAATTGAAGAAGTTGTGGTTATAAATGACTCGCCAATCTATTAATCACATTCAACATTCAGCCAAAAATGGACGCTCCTATGGACGAGATCCGTTTTCGATGGCAAGAGTCCTGCTGGCCTTAGCTCTGCCTTTGTTGTATAAAATGTAGGTAAAATTGAAAGTTTCAGTGTAAATACATATCGTGCACATAATTTAGTATGCAAGTATTGTAAATGTTTTCGTTTTGTCATTTTTGAAACGAAGAAATAGGAACTTCTTTAGAAATTAAATAAAAGTGCCTGTCCATTTTCATAAAATTTAGTACCTGGAGCCAACAAACTTGTGTGGAAGTTGGGCGCCGTAATAAAAAATTCTTTATTATCTTCCAAGTTGGAAAATTAAACGAGCATCATCAAAAAATATTTATTGTTAAATTTGCGCTTGTTTTTATAGAATTACTGGACGATAATGTAAACCGACTTTGACGATCTTTCATATTTATTATTTTCTCGTTAAAACCAGCATATGCTCTGAATTTCATCAAAATCGGAAAACATTTACTATATCCGCCCACATGAGCTGTGGGCGTGGTAGAGCGTTGAATTTTACCATTTTCCACATTTCTTCATTCCTAAGTCCCGAACAGCGCATATACAAAATTTCAGCGAATTTTTAGTACGGTTACTACTTTTGGCCACAGCTTATATGGGGACGTCCCACTGTGCACGGTCACTTTCTCAATGTCAATGCCAAAAGAAGACAATGAAGCACCGTTCTTTCCACACTTTGTATATGTACATACATACATACATACATATTAATTCAACTTAAAGGAGGAAAGAAATTCGGTGTAGCATGTCATTTGGGCAACCCACCGGCTGTAAACAGCAAAATGTGGACATTTTGCTTTTAATGAGACACAATTTACTGGAATTTAAATCGCAAACTTTGTCAACACTGAAACTTTGTCGCCGAACTATGTCGAGCCATAATTAAAACTTTGTTTTTGTAGGTCAGCCATTTGCGGCGGCAACCTGTTTGCAACAAACAACATTCACTGCCACACCCCACTTGCCGCCACGCCACGCGCACTTACTTACCATTGTTATAAAAATGCCAAATTCAGGATTCATCTCAATCGTATCGCCGTCGGTGAAGATAAATGTTTTCTTTTTCTCCTTCTTGGCCGTCAGTACAACGGCAACTTGTTGCGCCGCCACCGACAACACCGGAAGTTCGATGCGGTTGAATTCGTCGAAACAGCCCCAGGTGCCGGACTGTGATAAACCCTTGTAAATGCGGCCCAAGCCTCTAAAAAATGCAAAGATAAATAAATTAAGCAACGAAATTGGTTAAATAAATAAGAAAAGTGGTTAAAAAATTATTTTTTTGTTTATTTCTGCAAGAGATCGACAACTGCAATACTAATAACTAAATATCTGTGGTTAAAAGCAATAACCGCCTAAGTCAAAAGGGTTTTTTTTACTGTGAACCACCATTTGATTATTTTAAATAAACTCCAAAGATTTTTCAATGAGGTTTCATCGGAATACTGGAGGAGATTTTCTAGTATCAATACTACCAATTACACATTCATTTGATAATTTTGTTCAAATAGTGTTGCGTGAGTGGAGCATGATATACTAAAGCTTGATTGTTTGTTGACTTAATCGATTAAAGCTTTAAAACACAGATATACACGCATCCGGGAGCGGCACTTTAATTGATGGCGCATAACTCGTAGGTCGCCATGCCCATATTTACCTGGCATTTATTTATCTGTATATCTATTGTATTAGCTTACGGATTATGCGAAATTTATTGCGCTACTACATTTTAATACCTGTAATCCATTTGGTCGGAGCAATTAAATACAACCACGTATTTAGCCAGCGTCTTGCCCATGTCCTTAACAGTCTCCGTTTTGCCCGTACCCGCCGGTCCACATGGCGCCCCGCCCATGCTCAGGGTAAGCGCCTGGGCAAGCGTGATGTAGCATCTTTATACAACATTCCGCAGCATCCAATTAAGCGAAGCAAACAGTGTCGGGGACGAAAATTGAAAAGAAAATTAAAGTCATTTTCGGCGGAATGTTTCGTAAATTCGAATGCAGTACCAAAGGCAAATGAATGTGCTACTGTGCATATGTACATATGTATGTATGTACATATATACCCAGCAGGGAGGAGCTACTAATTTAGAACAGTTTGCTTTGCGGCTCAAATAGTTCGTCTTCTATCTATTGTGTACTTATGAAATAGTTTTTAGAAGTTGGCCTACTGGTATTGTGTGTGTATTGACTGGCTTCCCTGCAGGGTATGTAAAAAGACTCAGGGCTGCTTTGATGATTTTAAAATCAATTGTGTATGGAAATGTATTACTTATGGCGTCTTCGTTTCTACCAAAAAAGGTTACCTTCTCTTTGCCCTCTACGCACAAATACTAAGAAGAGGACAATGAGAAGCCAACATTTTTTGTAGAAACGAAAATGCCATTAACGCCAGCAGGCATAAAATTTGCAAATGCAATTCCAACTGCAAATCCAAGACAATTTACATAACATCCTGAACAGCCCTAGTATCTTTGTAAAACTAAAAATACATACATATCCCATGAGACATAAAATACGTTTGCAGGTTTTACACTTGATTCCAAGCTAACAGGGACGCGTAGCTTCGAAGAGAAAGCAAAGATGGAACTAGTAGCATATTACATACATAGAAGGAAACTGGGAAAAGCCTTGCTCTTTGCGGAAAGCACTGGGAAAAAATAACTATCCGAAAGTAATCGAATGAGTGCAGAGACTTGCCTGCTAACGGCTGTGAGCAGTTCACCCCAAAAAGCGTTAGAATATATTTCATTTAAAACCGACATAAGTATCCGTAACTGTTGCAGACGCAATTAAGGATCTTAGATTAAGGAAGATTAAATTGAGGTACATACTTTAGTACGGGATTATCTTCAGTAAATTTTAAGTAGAACGCCATAACGGTAACACGGCTGACTTATGAAGATATGCTGCTGGGGCTTCCGCTTAAGAAGAAGTTGGCGCCCCTCTCCATTCGGAGGGTCTGCAGATCAGACAATCAAATCACCTGCCAAAGAGAAGATTGCTTGCCTTATACGGAATAATAAGTCTCTGCAGGGAAAAACACTGTATTCGTTGACAGTCAAACGGTATTGAAAGCATTAGGATCCAAAGTAGTAAAGTCAAGAATTGTTTGGAAATGTCGGACGTCGCCAACGTCTATCTACTGTGCTCGTAAATATGGCAATATTGAAGGGAACGAAATAGCCAGTGAAAAATACGTCTAGGCAGGACTCGGAAATGCACATCAGCCGTATCAAATGTGTTTAGGGTTTTTTAGTGAAAAAGTTCAAAAGCTTCTAATGATGTTTTCGGAGATGTTTTAAGAAATAAAGTTTTAAGCTAAAATCAAAATATAAATAGCCAGATATATTTCATCGGACTCACCGATCTGTTAACGGCGTGATCACCAAACGATCTGTACAGCCCAGGTACTCATTTTGATAAGTAAAAGTAACGTCCGTCACGGAAATCCAGGTTTTATCCAGGTCTTCTTTGAAATAGAAACGGCACTGCTTCAGCCACTCAAAGTCGTTTGCCGACTTAATATTCATGCGACACTATAAAGACATACATATATACACACACATTATATATGTATGTATATAGAATTCAATAGAACAATATTCTTAAAGCTCAGGCAAAGTGCCGCGCGTATGGCTGGCACCCTCACCAGTATGTCAAAAATATCCCGTTGATGTACATGTATGGTAATTAGAGTTTCGAAGTTAGTGCGCTCCATCTTTGTCAAGTTCCTTGTTGTCTGATCAATAAGCGTATTTAAAATTTCTAAAAACTTATTATTCGTCTCCGACATGACTTTCCTCTCATGCCTGGCCTGCATCAGCGCCATTTCCGCGTCGCGTGTCCAAATCATTTGAATACCCAAAAGACCAATTTGCGCTGGGACTTTCTCTAAAAATCCCAACAAAGTGAAATTTGGATCATTAATTGTAGCATAAGCGGTGCGGATAATCGAATGCAATGACTGCTGTGCTGTGACCAGCAACTGAGTTAGCCATGTCTCGACAGAACCCTCAGCACGAATAGCGCGATCCAGTTGTATCATTTCACCCTCGCTGGAGATTATCGCCATCATCTTGTTATACTCGATGTCATGGAATTTCACCTTTCGCGTGTTATCGAAAATTGATAGCAGATGGTTTTGTATGGTGTGCGAATCGGAGGCCTGACCAAGTATCTCCAATAGGGCCGGATCCGAAACGAAAAAGAAACGTGGAAACATCATACGCTTTCGCTCTAAATAGCCGCTAAGTGACTTTTGACAAATTTCCAGCTGTTCCTGCAAGTGCGGTAATAGCTGCTTGAGGAGATCATCGCCCACACAGCAGGCCACCACGCCTGGCGTCTCGTGAGCGCGTTGCATAATCTTCTGCCAGGACTTGTCGATTTTAGAGAAGCGTTTAGCTTCTTTCGGCAACTGCTTAGCGATGTCGCCACCTACAAAGACAGCCTCTAAATATACCCACATATTTTGCACCAGCAGCCAGCGTTCCAAAATCTCGTTCGAGTTTGAAAGATCGTAAACCCACCTGCGCCGAACAAAAGTATAGTTTATTCGAATGAGCTGTGGATGAAAGTTGGCGTGGATACTCACTGTTGTATTTGCTTGCGGAATGGTGCATTGTAACGGTTGGATAGCAACGAGCCCAGTACCATCAAACTGTCCTCCAGCTGGCCTATTGTCTCAGCAGTTGTATCACCTCGCAGCAGCAATTCACCGCGATTATTAAAGCTCATGAATTGCAATTCGTGAACGGACCACTCGTTGGTGACTTGTTTCAGCTTCGCCTCTATATCTTTTTCCTTCATTGCGCTAATGCAAATGTCTTCAATGTCTTCTTTGTGTTTCAGCAGCGGCGCTTCCAAGATGTTCTTTAGTGAGAAGCCTTCCGAGTCAAACTCGAAAATATATTTTGTTACGTCCATGATGCGCTGCCAGTGGCGCGGCTTCATCGCCTTATTCGCCATCAGCTCCAGTAGTGGACACATGTCATTGAAATCGTCGATGGTTTTCTTTAGTGCATGGAAAGCTGGCCATTCCTTCAACCCTTTCGGGAGTTTGCGACAACGATTCTGGAACTCCATCAGTTCGTTGTTGATCTCTTCAATGTCCACCTCATTCCAGGGTATATCGTAGTAGCTGCTGACGCGGTCGATTACGTCATTGTACAGTTTGTAGAGTTTCTGCAACAAATTTAGCTCTTTTCGAATCTGTCCCAATTCGGGATAATCCGTTTGTGGCAAACCAAATAGCTCTTCACCACTTTGATATGTCTGTAGACGACGCCACATACCCTCAAAGCGATTTTGGAATAATATCAAGCGATCGGAAGCCTCGCGCGGTGTCAGACCTGCTTGCATTGGGCCAGCAGTGCGATATTCGTTGACGTACTGTATCTTATCTTGTTTAAATTTATCCAAATTATTGCGTAGGTCATCCTGAAAGGACGGTTGCATCTCGAGCAGCTTGACTTGGGCCTGAAGTGCACAGGCCAACAGATTTTGGAACGTGCCTCGCAAATTATCTACCAAATCGAATTGTTCACGCTCCACCTGAACTTCGTAGCGGGTGAGTACATTGAAGGCTTCCTATCGAAATGAAAATATGGTGGAAAAAATGTTTCTTTCTTTCGGAAATTACCTGCCCTTACTTCTATTGGATCGATGCGCAACTCCATGTCAACTTCTTGCTCCCTTATTTTAGCCAAGGTTTCCATGATCATTCGCACATCGTCAAGATCACGTATTGGCCTGTCTAACTTTCTATCCATTTCGTTAATTACTGCGTAGACATAGTCCATCTCCTTTTTGTACTTCTTCTTCATGGCCTGACCAATCTTGTGATTACAGGCTGAAACGAAATTATGTATATTTTTAAGCAGCATTTGGCAAGTCTAAAACTCTTTTTCTGTCTGACTTTATGAACAAGAATTCACTTACATATGGGATCGGAATATAGTGAAGCCTGTCCGAGCCAAATTAGCAAGGGACCAGGATTTTTTACAGCCTTGTACAAGTTTTCGGCGATATATAGGGTGATTATAAACCCGTTCTTAAATATACATATTTCGTTGTCTTAATCCACAGTTTCAAATAAAAGGCTTATTTATATACATATATAGATAAATACATTCCACATAGTGCTATTTTGTCCCTCTGATCTGTGATGTAATTTTTTCTGATTCGTAAACATGGAAAAGGATTTCTGTGCCAGCTCATGATGGTAAAATAGGACAAACCTAATAATAATTCTCTCATCTCCCTCTCTTAAGGGCAACACATGGGACAGCTAATCTACTAAGTAGTCTAAATGCGCCTTCACCTATAGAGGCAGCCATCCTAACTTGACTTTATCTCTCTTAACCTAACCCAATAAGATATCGCATTGAATTTTCGTCGAAGATGTATTCTTCTTCCTTCAAGAAGGATAATTGAATTGTGTAATAAAATCAAAAATAAATTATTTTTCTTTTTATTAGGATACCATATTAAGAGATGAAGAATAAAATTGAAATTTCGCCGACATGATACCAGGCCTATTGAATGGCACTAAAAGTAAGAAGGTGACCTCCGGTTAATTGGTTTGCCCGCATAAATTATTAAAAATATGTGCTATCGAAAAGGGATATACCATCAATAACCCCCTTCCCCCAATTAATTTATTCCCTGCTTAATTTAACTAAAAATTTTGCAAGTTTTGAAGTGCAATTAAGCGGGAAATACTGATATTTTTCAAATCCAACTTTATATATTTTATTGCTAAAAAAAAACTTTAAAAAAAAATCTATAAATTTTTATAAATGTTAGGTTTTATGTGTGCACATTAAAACTGGGCTACAGAAACAACACTCTCAAGCCAGGACTCTGGTCATTTTATGTTGCACCTTAAAGTTAACGCAGATATTTCTTATCATCCTCCCTCTTCCTTATATCCATGAGATGGCACTGTGAACAAAAAAATACGGCTTTACGCAAAAATAGCTTAAGAGCACACTTTAAATATGAAGAAGTGTGGTAGAAAATTAAAAAATATATATATATATTTCGGTTTTACCACGTTGAAACTGTACTTAAAAAAATGAATTTGATATATTTTATGCACGGCTTTCGTATCCCAGCTCTTTGCAGTAGAAAAGGAACAAGGGGCCGCAAATTTCACCTTTTCACTGATGATTGGTTTTAGTCACGTACAATATCATAACGGCATAATGAGTGCCAATTTACACATCAAACGAAAATATTAACCACAAATTGTAATAAATTTCAACAACATCGCAACGTAAGAAACGAAATTCGTTTGTGTTAAGCGAAATTAGCGGCACTCCCCTTCCCAAAGACGCCCACAAATCAATGTTAAATTTGGTAGTCGCTCATTCACGTCGAATTCGCTTACATTTTATTTCAATGGCCAAGCCATATTTGAGACGTTCATTGTAGACGGCCAAACACTGGCCGAACACCTCCATTTCTGGCTCCACCAACAGGTTGGCGTCCAACTCGGCCAAGCAACGCAGCGTCGTCTCAAACTCTTGCAATCCGAACTCCATTAGTTGGCGCGTTGTGCGGTCGTTCTTCCAAAGGAAATGATATGGTTTCCAACGCTTAATGTAGCTTTGTATATCGGGTTTGATGTTCTTGGTGCAATTCGACAGCAAATTGAGCGCCTTTGCCACCTCTTTGTTATCCATGATGGCGGCATAAAATGATTTCAACATGTGCGGCATTTGCGGACGCTCTTCGGAGGCTAGCGTATATAGCTTGCGGCGGCGCGCTCGGTTTCCCGTGTTGTGATTTCGGCCAACGCGAGGTTGCGGCGTCAGTGACACTTGCTGTTAATGCAAAAAAGATATTCAACACTATTTTTAAATGTATGTACGTATGTATGTGTGTATATATTTGTAAATTTTGTGAGCAACTACACTTGCCGGCTCTTTGCCGCTGTTCCACTGCGCCACGCCTTTGGCAATGCCAGTGATATTTTTGCCCGCCGTTATCAGTATCTCCTGCAACTCATCCAGATTAGGTTTGATCACCACAATTGGGATCTGCAATTGTGCATGCAGCGCGAATATCGGCTTCTTTGGTACGGTGTCATTCTCGTCGGCGACAAAGCGACGCCTGATGGTGTCCAAAGCGCCACGTATTACCTTAATCAGCACATCGATTACCTTTCTGCTATAGTAGCGCCGCATCTCCACAACCGCATTGCACACCATATCCTAGGAAAACAAATTTACAAACAAGGCAGGGCAACACTCACTCAGAGTGGCCATTTACCTGCATGCCCTTGGGCAAACTCTCTGTTGTCGAGAGGAGAGTTAGTGGGTTCTCAAAACAAGACCATAGAATGCTCCAATCCTGCTGCTGGCTGGCAGCGCCGCCGCCACCGCCCCCACCTCCGCCGCCGGCGTTTTCATTGTTGCCAGCAGCCGCACTTGACCCGGCTGCACCTGCGCTCTCCTCCTCGCCCTTTCGAGCGGATGATGGTTGAGTCTGATTTCGCGAGGCTGCTATCACAATAGTGGTGGGGCGTTAAACATGTAATATTTGTATTTGTACATAAATAAAATTAATGCGCGCTTAGCATACCATCAAACAAAGTGACAATATCATCGCCGGCGATTTGCTTGAATGTCTCAGTCGCCTTGTCAACCAAATTCAACACCTCCTCCACGGCCTCCGAAACCATTTGGCTTTTGCGATTCAATTCAATGGCCGCGTGTCTGCAAAGGCAAACAACAGACTTTGTAGAGCAAAGGAATACAATTATATTTACATATATACGTATGTTTATAAGTGTATATACAGGACTAGAGCTAGCTTAAGGATGGAACAAAGCCATACCACCATAACCTTTGGATTACTAATTTATTTATTTATTTATTTTATTTGTCGAAGCAGGCAGACAAAGGCACGCATGTAAAACGTTTTCAATGGCAATTCAAAGGGTTAAATTGTGCTATTTTGAGGTGCTGACAAGTTCGAGTGGTTGATGCAGTCAAAATACTTAATTAGTGTTATTTTATAAATTATTGCACACGTTCCTTAAAAGTGTATTATCTCAAATTTTATCTTTTTGATATTATTCGCTGAAAAGTAAGTAATAAATTGTAGTGGGCGTCTTGATGAAATTACACAAATGGAGGGATCCGACCGCTGACCGCTGTTAGGAAAAAAAAAATAATAGTAGTTTGTAATTGTTGCTCAGACCCGGAATAGAATTTAGGTCCTTCTCGGCTTTGGTGGCCAACATACAAAATGATTTTTTTTTGTAATTTGTTGCAAAAACCAACTGTAAAAATTCCCTTTCCATGCGGTTAACTAACATTTAGCTAACTTAGAAATAGTTTTTTGAGTTATTACATTCACTTTCGAAGAACGTGGCCGCTATGTCTCTTCATTGAAAATGTTGCTCTTTTAAGGACTGAAGGTGATGTTGCAAGTAAAGTAGAGTCCCTTTTATCAGGACCAAGGCCACCTTCTTCTTATTATTGTTGTTACGTTGTACGCCAATTAAGTGGGAGCAACTAACACAACCTTTGCCCAAAACAAGTTGATTTGATACCACGCTCCAAATATTCTCACTACAAGAAGGATCCTCATTAAAAGAAGCAATCCAGGGGTTTTACACACTTCTAGTAAAAATTTGTTTGAAGCATTTTACAACTATATTTGATGTTACAAAGAGATTTAGATCGTTTTGACATATTTTCGAAATGTGCATTTAATTAAGATTTTTTTGGAATAAAAATTACGCTCAAGATCGCAGAATATTTTATTTATAAAAGTTGGTTTAGTCTGAAAGCACACCTCTTGCTAAGGTATAAAATTATTCTTAAATGTTTTTAGAATACAATAGATACATACTTAAAAGTTTTGAAAATTAAATGCTTCATTAAACTATATTCGATAAACCGAAAATTTTAAAAATAGTGAAAAGTAGAATTCCACAATTTGAGTTATTTGCCATATTGTTATTTTTTAAAGGTTATGAAAAAACAAAAAAAAAAATCATAAATAATTCACTTGTTTTCACAATTTCTTTAATTAAAACATCTATAGCTCAAAAGTTATGCAACAAATTGATTCAAAATTTTTTTGAGACTTGAAGTATGCGTCTTTGAATTATATCCAAAAACAACCAGGGGTTGATATAGTTCACAACAATGAAAATAACGCTAAATAACACAAAGGTTACCCGTTTTTTTTAATTTGCCCATATATCTCCCGTTTGCTGATGAAAATAATTAAATTTGAGGACAGTTTCATCCTTTGTATATATCCCTCCTTTAAGCAGACGGGTCTAGCCAGACCTTTTTCTGTTGTACTTGTAAAACAAACGCATTTGTAAATGAGCTAGAGATTTGAAGTTTTTTGACTTTCCCTGAAATATTATTTGCTATCCTCCAAAAAATAAATCAGGATCAAAAAGACAATAAAGGGATGTTTTGCTGTTAACATCGCATTCGTACCTAATGGGTTCTGCCAGACCCCTATATTACACCACGCGACAGTCAATTTTCCACACAAATAAATTTATATTCTCGCGAAACTAGAAGCAAAATATAGTTCAATTGCGTTTTTAGTTTTTCTCTCTGACGTCAGGACATTTTTTGAAGGACATTGAAATTTCAAGGATATGATTGATTAAAAAAAGTTCAGTTTAATGCAGAATAACAATTCGGTGGAATTGAAAAAAAATATTTATCTTTTGGTGTACAAGGATGAAAAGGTGTTGAAAATGCCCTTTTAAAATTTTATCCTTGAAAATCCATGAAAGTTTCCAGTAGTTATTTTCGAAAAAAAAAATATAGTATTTTAAGGACTAATATATACACTGCCACGCCATCGAATTTTATCCTTCTAACTTTATCAGTTTAGAACAAAAAAAAATAAAAAATAAAAAAACCCTTTTTAATTTTCAATACCTATTCGTCTATCGTCGGCCGCTGTGGTGTAGGGGTATGCAGTGCGCGCTTCCATCCCGCAACGACTGGGTTCAAGCCCTGGTCAAAGCAACATCGCAAAAAATATAGAAAAAGGTTTTTTCTTAACAGCGGTCGTCCCTCGGCAGGCAATGGCAAACCTGCGAGTGTATTTCTGCCATGAAAAACAGCTTCTCATAAAAATACAATCGCCGTTCGGAGGCGGCGTAAAACTGTAGGTCCCTCCGCTTTGTGTGACAACATCAAGGCGCACGCCACAAGTCGGAGGGGAAGCTCGGCCAAACACTAACATATGTGTAAGCGCCAATCTATTATTATTATTATTATATTCGTCTATTTATTATATATTTTGTTTGTTTATACAGTATATTTTGCTTAGCTGCCCAATCTTCTTTGCACTTTGAAAAACTTTTGCAATTAACCGAAAAAAGCACTTAAGCGAATTTTCTTTACTACTTCAATGAGGAAGGTATCCGAATCCCTATGAAACCAAATAATGGAGGAGCACTTACACGTAGAAATTACTGCAAGCGAAATTTTTTTCGAATGGTATCCAATTATTTATATAACTACATAAAATGATAGCCGTTTTCGTTGTTCTGCGAGATGAGCAAAATAAATAAAAGTTTGTAAAATTAGGTAATTGTAGGGCCAGTGCACGTAAACGTAATACTTTCTTTGATAATTGATAACAGTTGCACGATTTTTAAGGCAGATATCGCCAATGTGCAGGTAGGTTGAATGCATCTATCGGAGGAGTTTCCTTATAATGTTAAAAATAATGCCGCTAATGTGCATTTTAGGGTAGGTATCTGAAATGTGCACTTAAGCAAAAAGGCAGCAAAGCAAAATATACGTATAATAATAAATAGGAGTAAACAAAAAGGCATTAATGAATGGTATAAAAACGCATTTGATTGTATCACTAGTTACCTATAAATACATGTGTATATGAGGGTATGGTCAGACCCATTAAATACGACAGTGACTAAAAAGTGTGCGCCTAATGGAGGGATATACTCGCTATATTTTTCATTTATTATTTATTTTTGTTAAAAAAGAAAAACATATCTAAAAAAGTGTTTTTTTTTTTACTTTTTGATTTATGACGTTCTTCTAGCAAACGGGCTACATATCGCACGTTTAATAATATAGAGATGTAACTCAAAATTTACGTTTTTTGAGATTTCAATATGCAATTAATAAGCTTGATAAATAGAATATGTTCAGTCTAACAGATTCCCAAACATGGCGAAGATATGTGTCTTTCCATCTGTCTTTTTAACCGACTTCCAAAAAAGGAGGAGGTTATCAGTTCGTCGGAATATTTTTTTTTTTATGTATGTTACCGCATAACTTTGGACCACGTCAACTGATCTTGATAATTATTTTTGTATCGGAAAGGTAGTGTCTCAGAGGTGGTCCCATACTAATCTGGTTAAGATCCGATAAGTGGATCATGAGATATATATGTATATTTTTTTTTTTTATATGAGAGTTGAAGTCGGTTTTTTTTGCTAAAAATTACTTGTTTTATACCAATTGTATGAAATTATAAAACTTTGATTACGTTTCCTCACAAAATTGAAATTTTGAAATACTTCGTTTTATTATTAAAGGAGCGATATAAAATACCGAGATATTCCGAGCCTTCATTTTTATAATTATTTAAAAGAATATCTACTAAAAATTTAACATACGAAAGAAATTTAAAAAAAAATCCCTAAATTTATAAACCATTCAGCTTTTTAGTTTCGCATATATTTCTCTAACAAATAACAGAATGAAATTGTGTATCCGCTAGCAAGAAAATGTCCCTTTTTAAAATTAAAAAAAAAAAACAAGTAATTTTTAGCAAACAAAACCGACTTAAAAAAAATATATATATCTATATATCTCATGATTCAACGATTGGATCTAAACCAAATTAGTATGGGACCACCTCTTAGACCTTTCCGTTGCAAGAATTATCGAAATCGAAAATAAAAAATAATAAAAAATAAAATATTCCGACGAACTGATAACCTCCTCCTTTTTTGGAAGTCGGTTAAAAATGCTCCATATCTCCCTGACTCACCTGCATGCATCTTCACTTTTTTGTAAAAACTCGTCCACTGTCCAAATTTCGTCTTCTGAAATGAAACAAAAAGTACATGTACTTGTACAGTTACATATACATAGTATCTGCCTTCTCAATAACTATGTATGTACGAATATGTATGGATGTAAAGATTAGCAATCCACATACTAAAACTTCATTTCGTACATTTATGTACATAGTACATCGAAGCATAGGATATAATTTAGTGTGATCTTACCTGCGGGCAGGACTTGTAAGGACACATCCTGCATCCACATTAGCACATTTAAAATGCGATTGGAGTAGATGTCGTGCACACGTGCCACCAGTACATTAAATGTCTCAATGGCGCGCTTACAACGCTCATAGAACTCCGTCCAATTTTGATGAGTCCACTTTGGATCAAAAATACACAAAGTCAAAGCACACAAAGTTGATTAGGGACTGCGAGTGCAGATACTTATTATGAAACTTTAATTGAATTTTGTTACTCACAAAATGACAACTGCTTAGGCATGGATGGTAGGCAACCAACCGCCTTAAGGGCATTTTCAACTTACATTTATAGTGTGGAGGCCAGGTTTCAGCATTGCCGTCAGACGCACCAATTGCGGCAGAAACAATGGACGCACTTCCAATTTAACGGCACGCACAGTTGTCAAAAACATTTTAATCAAACACTGTGAACAACCAAACACAAAGAGAAACACACAAAAATAAATATCATTGGACAAAGCAGACTTCCATTTTCGCCTACATTTAATGAGTCCTGTATGTTGGTGAAGTACTTTTGGCGACTCATCAATGTGGCGGCAACAATGGGCAATTCAATGTCTAGCTTGGCCAACATCTTGGCTTCGCGTATCAGCAGCGGTATAGTGGGATGCAGGTTAACGAATAATCGGTCGCCTTGCAGGGCCAAGAGAGGCTGTAAGAGGCATGCATCGGCTACGCTAACCTAAAGATTTGATAAACACAAAGATAATTTACGCCCAAAAATTAAGACCCTAGTAATGTACATCCTGATCCAGCCATATAGATACGATCTCTTCCTCATACTCCCTTAGCATTCCGGTTACATTGTTGTAGCGATTTTCTAGATCTTTCGTCAAAGGTAGACCACTTAGCACCTGGTGCTCCAGTACAGCGTCCATCAGTTCTTTCATGTGCGCATCCAAAGCGCGACTCCAACGAATACGACCTGCGATCGGTGGAAAATTTCGACAGACGGGCGGGTCGTCACGTTGTTTTTTGAACATCTTATTCACCCGGTCCACTTCTTTATCCACATACTTGATGATGCGCACATATTTTTCATCCATCTTACTGAGCGGTATCTTCTCACTGACCCTCTCAAAGCGAGTTAAGAAGCGAATGCATTGCGGTGTCTCCCACACGGTGTCGAAATTTGTCTCGATAAGAGTGGCGATGGTGTCTTTCAATGAGTCGGTTTTGTTCATGAAGCGTTCGAAATCGTCATTGAATTCCCCGTTGCGGTGATCCAAGTAATCGTATTTCTTCGACAAGATCTCCTTCTTGGCCTCTTCAAAATGGTTGCTGGCATCTTGGAGTGTTTCCGCTAATAGTAGACCCTCCAAACGGCGCTCGAATAGATGGTTGTAATCATCGATTAGATTAAACATGGAAATGATTTTCGACAGGCGATCACAAAATGTATCAAACTTTCCAAAAACGAAATTTTCCGAGAAACCGAACGGTGTTTGATTGGGTAAAAATGGTTGCTCTCTAACGGTGTAGTAGGTCTCGTGGTATATGTGGTTTAGCTTGATGCAATTGCCTAACTTTGTGCGAATAACATTGCGATCTTGAGACCAAATTGTCTCCTTACTACGGCAAGTGATGTAGGACTTGCAGGTTTCTATCATTTGATTGGTGATCTAAGCGAAAACAGGAATAGAACAAAGTGTTTCATTGCCAATGGATGCGTAAATTATTTAAATTAGTTTAAAAATACAAGGACAAATTGATAATCCGACTACAATATAATCGAAATTACTACATTAATACATATGTACATACGAACCACAATAAGAACCAGTAGATGACGATTTCATCCAGTGACTTCCGCTCGGATATCCAAGAACCGAAGTGATTGGAAAATACCCAAACCCAGAAAACATATACGCGTACATATCCTTGTGGGCAGCTGATTAAGTTAAGTGACATTTCGACCAGTTTTGGTTACTTTTCTTTTGTTTATTTAATGTTTGTATTTTTTTTTATAAAAATATAGCACAACATTAACCCACATTTCAAACTTCGTACAAAGTTTATATAAATTAAACAAACTTCAACAATTACACCCAGAAATTTTCAACTTTTTATTAAAATTTCAGCAAAAAAATATGTTAAAAGTCAACGCGATTTTTTAGCGTTTTAAAATCTGCACTTTAAGCCACTAAAATTGAATGAGCTATAAAACTGGATACCTAAAATGTTTCTAAAAAATTTTTAGTAAAAAGTTTAAAACTTTTGGGTGGGTGTTTAATTTTTATAAATTTTGTACGAAGTTTGAATGTGTGTTTGTGAATTTACATATATGTTGCTGGTTATGTAATGTGCTAAACTTTTATTAAAAAAAATATGAACATTAAATAAACAAAAGCAAAATAACCAAAACTGGTCAAAATGTCACTTAACTTAATCACCTGACCACAAGTGTACGTACATATGTATGTATGTATCTACTCCAAGAACTAGTTCATTACGCACGTAAGTACATATGTACATATATATGTATGTATGTATAGCGATGCAAAATTTAACGAATTTCTAAATTTACTTGGAATTGAAAACGCTGCACAGTGGTCCAATATGCAAAGCTAGGGTACTTAATTAAATTTTTTGTTTGTAATTTTTTAGTAAAATTTTTGTCAAATATACAAGAATATTGTCTAAGAGTAAATACAACTTTGTTTGATAACATTTGGCTACATATAAGCACAACGGTATCCGAAAAGTCAAGGAGCCAGAAAGTGAAAATGAAACTATGCGCGCAACGAAAAATTTGTATTTTTAAAACTTGGGTTGTTTTAAATTCATTTCTTTCTCAGTCATTATTTTAAGTTAGAAAAATCAATATCGAACATTGCGATATTTTAGTAACAACTGAAAGTTATTAACTCGAAATTGATATTTACAATCACTTTTAGACGAAAAATAAGAATACGGAAATTTTTGGAAAATGAGCGTAGCTCACTTAGGAGTACATGTGTATATCGTGGTAACCGCTCCACCAACTTCTCCCAAACTCGGCGCAATTTCTTAATAAAAAAATACCAGACGGCTGTATCGTCCGGCTATTCTGTTTTGCTTTGTTTTTAGTTTTCGTCCCAATAAAATCTAAAAAAGAATTCATTTCACACAACGTCTTTAAGGCAGCTTTTCTGAATTTTCGGAAGTTGAGGGTTTCATCGGGACTGTCGGAAAAGGGCTTTCGTGCCGTCCCGGTGGTAAATTTGTAAAGGCTTTCCCAATACTGCCCATTCTGGCTATTTCGAAATCTATGCCGTAAGTGCCACGGAGCCCGATATGCCTCGACCATCTCTAGTATGAATTAAAGAACGTGAATAAACATTTGACTTCAACTCATCCACATTTATGCAAGCTTAAACACATGTGTACGTATGTAAATTAGGGTGGTCCGCAAAAAAAGCAAAGTTGGAATTTTAACGCCCTAACTCCGAGGATTGCGGTATATAGGAAAAATTTTTCCCGTTTTTTTCCAAATCAAAGAATATTTAAAGGTCGCTCAAAGCGCTCAAAGTTTTCTCTGTAGTTTATATGGGGGAGAAAATTTGCAGAAATGGTATAGAATTCTTAAAAATCATTTTTTTTTAACGGAGACTTCCAATAATTATACCCAATTGTTTATGTAACCATTTTTTTATTATTAACTATTTTTTATATGTACATATGTAGGTCCCCCAAAACCCACAAAAATGCCAGAATCGTTAAAAAATGTTCACAAAAATATGCAATTGGGTATTATTATTGGAACTTTCCTGAAGAGGAACATGATTTTCCGTTCGAAAAATATTAGGGCCATTCCTCTAATCGCGTAAAGGCCTCGTAACGATGTAAACCTCGCAAACTTACTTACTTTTGTATGGAAAATCGGCTTATTTACAAGGTTTACGCGAATACGAGCCATTTACGCGTTTCCATGAATACCCATATTGATTTTCAAGAATTCAATACCATTTCTCCGAAAATTTCTTTTTCCCCCTTTTAAAATACCAGAAAAACTTTGAACGTGTTGAGCGACCTCTACATATTTCTTGATTTCGAAATAAAAAACAGGGGAATATTTTTTCGATAAAAAACAATCCTCGGAGGTGAGCGCATTAAAATTCGGACTAAACATTCTCACATGCATTTTTGTTAGACCACCCTAATGCACATACATACATATGTATAAATTCTACAGTAAGTTAGATGCTACCTTATCAGAAAAACTCATAATTTCTTTCTATTTCGAATTAGCATAAAAACTTGCGGGGGTTTGGTAAGAATACGTTGTAAAGCTTGTATTTTGTTATAGAACTTCTTGTTTATCTATACAGGCACCCTGGGCATACTACATATTTAAATTAATACATATGTACCTAGTATAATATGCAGCTAATAGAAATCAATTTCAAATACAGAATTAAGAAAAGGTAAGAAACGTGCATACTGGCATCACCGCTGCCACACTATCTTTATTAGTGTACCTATATGTGTGTGCGCACAAGGCGAACCCAATCAGACTGTAGTCGCTTCACTTTGACTACTAGCCAAGCCAACTGGCCACAGGTGAGTGAGAGAGAGATAACTGCACTTAATATAGCAACTACATATGCATGTATGTGCGTGTGATAGCTTCGTGGCTTTTGTACTTCATCGCTGAGTTTGTTATTTTGTTGTCGTTCTGTGAACATTCGACAACAGCTCGAAGTGTGTTGGAGGTGTAATTTTTGTTGGGGAAAACGGTTAGATAAGAAGAGCAGCGTATCAGTTCTGTGTTTTTCCTAGTAAAAAACATACTTTTGGTTTATCATAGAAATAAATATTTGTTAACAATGCAAGATGTGGATAAAGAAGGTGAGTAAGTAGATTCAATAAATTGTTATTATTCTCTTGAAGCGCATATCTATACATATGTATTTTCAATCATAAGTTCTGTGCATATGTACTTCATATGTATATATGAACATACATACATATCTGTATCAATTTTACAACAAAATAATCGCTTCATGCGCAGTTGTTAGCAAGCAACTCGAAAACAATAAAACAACTTTTTGCAATACAACAACTGTTCCCACATTAACCCGGCACGTGCATACATATATTCTATATATGTATGTATGTATGTACAACTTAAATATTTGTACGTGCATACATATTTAGTATAAATGTGGGTACCTACATGTGCATGTGCATGGAAGTATTCGGTGCTATGTTTTATAAACCAAAAGAAAGAAATGCAAACAGATTAGTTATCAATTGTTAATTCGTATATACATTGTTGCTACATTGTTGTTATTGTTCTCATCACCGCACAACACATAGATACATATGTACATATGTATACGTATGTTTATTGATTGCATTTATTCAAGTAACTTAATAAATTTTTAATTTTTGTACAAACTTTGAAATGTGGCTTTATGTCATACAGCCATAAAGCCCGGTTATGCAAGACTTACAATTGACTTGACGTAGGTAGAAACTTAGAAACGATTACTCTGCAGGCCATCTATTACTTTTTCCCTTTCTTTTGATTCTGAGCATTTGCATTTTTACGCGCAAAATTGTAATTTTTTAATTTGTTTGGGTTAAAAACTAATCAAAAAATATCAACTGAGATAAATGTATTTATGCGTATCAAATCGTGATTGTTGTTATTTTATTTTCTATCTTTATTTGAAAGTTTGATTTTGGATTGCCAGATGAATTGCATTTACATGTACAAAAGATTATGTTTGTGTGGCATATTTGGAGGAATTTTATTAAAAATAAGTGAAAATGTGATATGGCAGCATAATTTTCTCACGGCATTCGTTTCACTTAGACTTAAAACTTAACTTAGAAATCAAAAATCTAGATTTCACCAAGTTTCTAAGGGAAGTTGTTTTTTTGTGGGTAACTACCCACCATGCAAAACATGAGAAATAGGCAACAATCGTCAATGGCAACAAATTGGCAACTCACCGATTTATTGCTGTGGCGACAAATCGGCAACATCATTTCTTTCATGTCAACTTTGGAATAAATAAGTTATCAAAAATTCCCAAACTTATAAATTTCGCGTCAACAGTATTATCCAAAATCGTCTAATTTTTACCAAGGACAGGATTGAAAAGATAGGAAGCCCCATAGGAAAAGAAGGAATTATTTTCGTTTCATGTAAGTTCCAATTTTGTATACAAAAAATAATTGAAGTATTGAAAAGAATAAAATTATTCCAAATATCGCCTGAAGCGTTAAGAAAATTACTCATTCAGGTAATAAGAAAACGACTCGCCCAAGCAAGTTGCCTTCGGCGGACGTTTTATAGCGACTGGTAATAGGAAATCGATACGATCGCAATATTACCGGCAATAAATTTGTTTCCGAGGGGGAAACGTTTCCTTATTGCCGGCAACAAAAATTNAGATACATATACGCGGTGCACATTTGCCAGATACATACGTATGTATAGATTTTCAAGTCAAGTCCAAGGGCCGTTTTCTCGACTGCCTGCTAAAAGTTGACGGCCAGTCTGCTTTATCGACTTTTTAACGATTGCCGGTTATTTATAAGCAAGTGAGCGAAAAATTTGACAGGCAGTCAAAGCACTGGTTATCTTTAACAGGCAGTCTAGAAGTCTTGCATAACCGACCCTATAGTCAAAATTATTTACGCAAAGTGCAAAATTTTTTTTTTGTTGCCTTTAAACTGTTTTAGAAAATGTCTTCATACATATTTCAATTTAAAGATAACATTTGAATATTCGTTCTAAGTCGTCTAAAGTATTTACATACTTTTTGACGTCAAAAGTATTTACACAGCATATA